AGATCGTGACCTGGCTGAAGTCGGATGCTTAACCGACTGCGCCACCCAGGCGCCCCTCCCTCACTTTTAAAAAAGACTGTACCTCACGTGGATACAAGAAATCTATTATAATAAGCAACTTAGTATAAGTTGAGAAATACACTCTCCATCTGTTGAACCATTTTTACTTCTCTAAGTAGGTACAGTTATCCCTTAAATCTAGACAGTTTTCATATAAGTCATCATCTGGACAATCTGGGAGTCTGCTCTTCTTATATTAATTATCTCTCTAGTATAGGATGTGAATAGTAAATTCACCTTTTATCACTTCCACAAACCAAAGTTCACCTAGATTACAAAAACAACAGAACCTGCTCTATAACCATCCAGTATGATACAACAGCTGGTCTCAAAACTCAAGTCTAGATCGAAAAAGTTAATTTAACTTGAATATTTAAGCAGTATTTTCTTAAACTTAAAGAATTTCACTTACCACAAATTCTCCATAATCAAACTGATGTCTCTGATTTAGATGACTAACGAAATTTCTAGTAATCTGGCTAGGATCTCCCCAAGGAAGAGACACACAAATAGGACACGTCTATAAGAAACAGAATGTTTTAAATAAAAAATAATGAAAATAACCAAACATACAAATTATTGAAAGTATTAAAATAACACAGGCTTATGTTACCGAAAACATTTATATGAAAACCATTTCTAAGATCCAAATTTTAGGAAAAGATCACTTCTGGACCAAATTACCTCAGATAAATTATAGTAATATAATTCAACACAATAAAAAGATCTTATACATTTTATTAGTTTAAACTCTGATTACACAACTGTTTGAATTGAAACAACACACCCAATCATAATTGCTAATTAATAACAATCATAGTTGCTATCATTAACAAGTACGTAATCTCATTTGAGCCACAAAGAACTACAATTATTATGACTTTTTTATAAGTAAAATGAAAGTGAAGTAAACTTTAAATTGTATCCTTAAGGTTTTAATGAGGACATACTAAAAAGTGAATGTATGATATACTGAAATGAAATAAGAAGAAACTTTTGGTAATTGGACTCTAGTCAAAGTCTGTGCTGTGTTAAATACAATGCAGAAACAAAAATCTGCTAGTGTGATATAAAACAAATGAAATCTCTTAAATGTGAGATTTCTCCTGGAGATATCTTTGGCAATTGTATGTTTATTTAACAGTAACTGACCCTCTCCTAATGAGCAAAGTAGGTGGTATCTCCCTTAGTGCTATGTGAGAGTTTAAGGGCGGCCTCAACAGTTACTGAGGTGTATTCTTTCTCACTTTTTTCTAGTACATCCACTAAAACTGCTTAGAAATATCTATAATCCTTAATTTATAAAATTTTCCTTCTACTCTTATTTCTGAAGAAAATATTTATGTATCAAAATGTACAGCTGAAAAGGAAGTATCTCTTCCAGTTCAGTTCAGTTTCTCCTGTTCCATCCACAGGTGAAATCACTTACCTATGTAACTCATGTTCCAAAAGAGGACTTGTAGGACCATTACCACAATCTTGGAATCCCGCACTCCACTCTGTCTCCCTCATTCATCAAAAAGGTCTCACCCCTTTCTTACACAGCCTCAAAATGGCATCAAAAAGATATGTATGCATCAAAAAGAAAGTACAATTCTTTTCCTTCCTTACTTTATGCATTCATACACTAGATTCTGCAAGGATACAATTAAAAATACCTACTGACTTTATACTTATTTATAAGCGTTTTCACCTGCAGCAGATCCACCAGATCAGACCCAGTCGTTTGCATTCTCTAGACTAAGAAACCGAGAAGCCCCAATAAAGTTTGGTTCTGCCACTCCTCAAATGAATCCCCAGCTCACCTTTCATTATTTCACTCTCCTCCGGGCTATTCTCCTACATTACCCTTACAATAAGCATCTCCCTTTTTATAAGTGAGTTACTGGAATTTTAAATATCTCGTTTTGCTTCACAGTCATCAATTTTTTGTTGACCTAAACCTACCTTAATGATAATGCCCCATCCAAATTTAAATCAACTCCTTTCCCTTGTACACATGAAATGAAATAAATGAAACAGTGTATTTAAAAATGCAGAAGAACATCTTAAACATATGTACTTACCACAGGAACTATCTGAAATAAGTGATTACTGTTACAGTGATCCAGTAAACGCTGCCTGGTAAAATTTGATTCTTGACACAAGGGACACTTAAAGGTAGGATGCCCAGAAGAGCTATAAAACAATTTTAAATGAACTGTACTTAATTTGAAATTGTAACATAAAAATTATGCTTTCCTATTCTGACCAATTACTGTAAGTTTCTTTTTTAAAAAGTTATTAGACTATTTAAAATTTTGAAAAAACTATCTTCAATAAATCATCTACAACAGATGTTCCCAATCTCAGTTTACGTACCCTTAAAATGTCTCAGTACATTTTTTTCATGGTGCCTCAAGGCCTAAAACAAAACAAATCTAGCTGTCCCACTTATGAAGCAGTTAGGTCCAAACAACTTAAATTTAATCATTTGTGTAAGGCCAACAGATGTCACTATAACTCCCCTGAAAGTTGTACATATCCTGTGGTGTCCCAGTTTGGACACCCCCGTTATCTAAGAACTCAAAACTTTTAAAAGACTCCCATCAAGATCATATCTTTAGCTTATCCCAGTCTCTAGCAATCAAACATACAAAATTCATAAGAAAAGTGAAAAACAAAAGCATCAATCATCAGAATGATCAACATTTCAAAACATTTTGAGGATCACACATCAATGATGTTTAATACCTCAGAATTTCAACAAGAGACAGTTCAATATTGACAACTCTACCTAAATTATGCATGGAAGAAACCTGACCACAGTGAAAAAGGAGAGCTAAAAAGGAGAGCTATTCTAATTTAATGTGATCTGTAAAAGCATCTGCAGCATTTATTTCTAAATTCCCAACTTCTAGCATTGTCTGATGAATTCACTAAGAAAGTTTAATTTAAAAAATCTATTTTTATAAAGTGATAGATGTAATTTACTAAAGTAGCAGAATTTTCAAAAGCTTACCTTGTATTCTCTTGATAAGTTTCTGTGTTATCAGACGTAGATGTTTCACTCCTATTACTTAAGAAACATAGAGGGGGAATAGTTAATACTTCAAGTAATAAAGCACATTACACATTCATTAACTTGAATTGCTAATGAAAATGACTAGTCTGAATTTGTTTTAAAGCCTGAACTTCAAATAGTTCTGAACTATGAAACAATTATGGCATCATTTACTTTTTAAATAAGTTTGAGTAAGACGACTGTTTATTAAGTCCTTATGTCCTTTAAAATTAATTTATGCAATTGCAAATAAATAATATAGAATTTTTCAGGATTATCTTAAATCCATAGCATGATAATATTTCCCCAGGCCCTTCAGACTTTCACAGTAAGAGATTCTTCTACCTAATCTACTAAGTTACTGAATGCTGGGGCTGAGGCAAGAATTTGTGAACTTTTTGACTTGTAACTAGGATATGGTTTAAAGCTATGGCCTCCAACGTGGAGTAGGCGTAAGAAAATATTTAAGAAAATCATTATGTTCATATTTTCCAAAAAGGAACTAGGCTTTCCAACATTTAATATACAGAACCATTTGACATCCTCACTTGGACCCTGTGCCAGAGCCAAATGTCATATGCAGCATTAGAGAAATCCAGAGGAAAGAGTGGGTATATTCTAAATGGGAACTGTCACTTAGGCATTACAGAACTTCATCAGTGTGGTCAATTTTATAGAAACAAGGCCTTTCAATAGCAGAAACACTAAAACAGAAATGAAAAAAGAAGTGGGCAAGAAAACTGTACCCTACAGAGATTTTCTCTTATATCTCAACACCAGAGTTAAAAGAGTTGTTAAACTCAGAAAACTGGTTATTCATATTTTTACAAAAACAAAAACAAAAAACAAGCAGTACTACTATATCATCTCAATAACATGTAATTTTCTTTTTGACTTTTTAAAATTTGTTTTTCATAATAAAGCTATATACAAGAAAGTTGTATATATACTGTAGACACCCTTCCAATGACAGCTCCTTCTATGAAGATAAACCATGTTAGCTCTCCACACAGATCTTATGCTGAGCGAGCAAGCAAGCTTCCCAGTTTCTATACCCAAAGAGACTATTAAACCACTATTTTCTGCACCTTTCCAGCAGATCTCATCTGTCTCTTCAGGTAAAGGTGGTATTTTAACAATGTGGAGACTAAACACCTTTTTAAAATAACTCAGTCAGAGACTGCATTTATTAAAGAGATGTTACGATTTTGTCACCAAAAACAGTATGTATCACTTATTTTAAAAAATCTCCTATCAATGTTTTTAAACTTTGTAACAGATTTTTCTAATTGCTTTAAAAATCTTCCAAATAAGGGCACCTAGCTGGCTCAGTCAGTACAGCATGCATCTTGATCTCAGGGTTATGAGTTCAAGCCCCACAGTGGGCACTGAGTTTACTTTTTTAAAAATTTAAAAATTAAAAAGTAAACAAAATCTTCCAAATAAAGGGGCTCCTGCATGGCTCAGTCAGGTGTGCATCTGACTTCAGCTCAGATCACGATTTCACGGTTCATGAGTTCAAACTCCACATGGGGCTCGCTGCTGTCAGCCTGTCAGCACAGAGCCCACTTCGGATCCTCTGTTTCCCTCCTCTCTCTGCCCCTCCCCAACTTGGGCTCTCTCTCACATAAAATTAAAAAATAAAATAAGAACATTAAAAATATCTTCCAAATCAACACAATCACTGGGTTTTGAAGGTGCCCTTTAAAAACATTTTAACAGGGGCGCCTGGGTGGCTCAGTCAGTTAAGTGTCCAACTCTTGGTTTCAGCTCAGGTCACGATCTCACAGTTTTGTGAGTTCAAGCCCTGTCTCGGGTTCTGTGCTGGCAGCACAGAGCCTGCTTGGGATCCTCTTTCTCTCCTCTCTCTTCCCCTCCCCTACTCGTGTTGTCTCTATTTCTTTCGAAATAAATAAACAAACTTAAAAAAATAAAAACATTGTTACAACTTCTGATTGCTTTGTAATAACAACTATAACATCATTAAGGAAGATGAAAATTTCAACAAAAGCTCTTTTGACATTTAGTGAGTGAAACTGAAAATTTTAGTAATCTCAACCTATGACATACTCCTTCCATTCAGATCTGTATCTTTTTTGTATGGTAGGTATATTTTTCAGCTATGACAGTCATCAAAATCAAGTATCAACGTAAAGTGAACATAGTTCCAAATCTCTGATTATGTCACAGTGTTTAAGATTAAAAAAAATTTTAGGAAGTACAGTCAACAGCACTGGTTTTAGTGAAAGTATTAATAAAACTTTAAGAATAAAATATTTTATACCATTAAATAAAGCAAAACTTATTTTAAAGTAACGATTTCGTCTTTAGCTCACTTAAATTTTGCATGCTTTATAACATAAAGTATCAGTACTGTAAAAATACATGCGTAGTTTTTAAATAAACATACACACAGTAGGAATGCATGCCTGATTTTTTTCACTGATGAGATATGAAATCACAAAAGTGATTTAAAACATTTTAATATCAAATTTAACGCTCTTTTAAAATGCTTTCTCTCTCTTCCATTGCCCATATAGTTCTGTTTTCCATTACAACTCTCATTATCATCATTCCAGCCCTTTCTAGTCATTTGTATCATGTCTATTACTGGTAGCCTACTCATTTACTCCAGAAATACATCAATGGGTTCAATAACAGAAAATCTATCACTGACAGCATATTAACAATTAAAATTAAAAAAGATAATTTCATTTGATGCAGAAAAATATCATCCAATAAAATTCAATCTCCATAATGTAAACAAAACCAAAAAAAAAAACCCTCTGATCATTCACAAAGCTTTTAAAAGTACAAACGCCTAGGGGAACCTGGGTAGCTCAATCAGTTAAGCATCCAACTCCTGATTTCGGCTCAGTTCATGATTTCATGGTTCGTGGGTTGGAACCCCACGCAGGCCTCGGCCCTGGCAGCCTGGAGCCTACTTGGGATTCCT